ATCTTCTAACCTTAGAACTAATAAAACTCCATCATCTATAGACACATCAGAATCTCTCGAATGTACTTAGCACAAAATACAGACTAGTATTATTAATGCAGCTCTACAGCATATCCCCAACAAAAAATCTACTATATGAAATTTTTAACATATATTCTTACCAAAAGCATCTCTACTACACAACTATCTTAAAAAACTTAGTAATATAATACAACAAGTTAAAATATCACTTAAAAATCAATCATTTATATCTATACAATACAACTCCACTATTGACAAACTCAACAGCACCCACCAACTAAATATCCCATACATACCTCAAACACATAATCTCCTTGCAAACTAGCTAACCACTGGCAATGAAGAATGGAAAGCATTATATCATGTCCGCAATATGGAAAACATCAAAAAAATTTGTCAACAGATCAATGACAGTATTTCTAAAAGATGTGATAAACTGTTATCTAATACCAAATCCATGATTAATAGTATTCTTAATCATCACAAAGATCCTGTCAAATTTGATAATATTAAAACAGATAATAATATTATTACAGACATACAAGAAATTAAATCTCATATACAACAACACTTTGACAACTGGACAAACTACCGAAATATTAACCAACAGATATTCAACTCAACATGACAAAATGAATACAAACCCAAAACCAATATTCTAACTGAATAGTACAACAGTGCTCTTAGTGAATTTTCTATAGAAGAAGTCTCATCTACCCTTTCTCAACTTCCAAATAACAAAGCATGTAGTCTTTTTAGAATCAGCTATGAAATGCTTAAACATGCTAGTTTTCCTTTCTTTTAAGCAGTTACTGCACTATTCAACAGATGTATCAGCTCTAACTCAATTCCTAAAAAATAGAAAGAGGGCAGAATCTTCCCAATTTCCAAAAAACCTATTTTTGATAGCAATTTAACTAACACCAAACCTATCAGCCTCTTAGAATATATTAAAAAATTATATACTAAACTTTTAACTAATCGTCTAAACTATATATTTACAAAACATGAAATTCTCTCTCTCTATAACTACATTGCTTTTTCTAGTAATTGCACTGCCATCCCGATTCATATACTCAATAATATAATAAAGAAACCTCCTGTAATTCGAAAGAGCTTTGGCTTTTATCTCAGAATATAAGCAAGGCTTATGACTCTATCAATCTAAATCTATTTAAACTATTTCTTCAACATATTAATATGCTAGCAAAACTTATCAATATACTTAGCGATCTTCTATCAAACCATCAAAACAAAGTCATTACCAACTTTGGACTTACCAACTTCTACTCAGTTAAAAATGGTATCGATCAAGGAGAAACAATTACTCCTCTCTTTTGGAAGATCTATTATGATCCTCTTATCCATAAAATCTCTTCACAATTTACTGGCTATATACTATCTACCTTATAGTTAACTAGCCTACAACCCAACACCTCCAAACCTCAGCTTTAGTACTTGCATATATGGATAACATATTATGGATAGCCAATCTAAAGAAGAGATAACCCAAATCACTCAAATGGCCTTATCTTTTTACCAAATAGCAGATATACAAGTTAATCCAACTAAATTAATATTAGCTACCAACTCTAAGCTCTTTTCTATCTCTTCATTAATTTAACAATTCAATCTATCCAGCTAAACAGCCCTTTAAATTCTTGGGCTATTGGTTTACTCTTAATAACAAACAATCTGAACAGATCAAATTAATTCAAAATAAAACTTTTCAACTAACTTATATTGCTAGTACAAAAAAAATTATAGACAAACAAATCGGCTATGTTATTAATATAGTCATTATTCCTACATTAGAATACAGGATTCACAATATTGTACTTTCACATACCACATACAACAACATTCTATCCAAATACCTTACAATAGCAAAGCACAAATCCCATCTCGCAAGATCAATTTCTAATAGTACTATGCTAAATCTGTATCTATACAATATCTGCAATATTTGGGACATCCAACTACAACACCATTCAACCAACTTTTTTCAACACCTAAATAGCCCTCACCTATTAGAAACTACTACTCGTATTAGACTACAACAATTACAAAATAATCTGTGGTCAACTATGAACATACTTCAGCATTCACAACCAATAATAGATGGTCCAAACAGACACTCATTAAATTTCAAAATTATTTAGCTTTTTAAACACCTTAACATATCTATCACAGCAAACCCTAATATTTTATAGTCCAATACTATTCAACATAATCTACAACATTAGAAAAATACTTATCAATAATCCTAAATATATTATTTTTAAATGTCAACTCAGAAATACAAAATTACTTTATCTTGAACAACTTTGTATAGTCGATAATATCACTCTTTTAGAATAGAAACATCTATCTTCAAGACTTTTATGTTTACCCAAAGGCTGAGAACCACTATGGTTTCAAATATTTGAAAACATAGTTCTTGAAAATAAATATTAGTGCTCTTTACTCATACAATATCAACAACAGAGCATTAATACTTTGCTTACAATATCTACAATATTTCAAAAAAATCAAAGCCCTGGCTACTCTTCTTTAATAACAATGAAATCATTATTGACAAAATTTGTACACATCTTACAAACTCTAATGAAATCTCTATTACTTACTGGTGAACAAATATTAATACTTAAATTACAGAATACTACCCACTTCCACCTGTGGTTTGCAGCCTATGTACTGGCTGCACCTCAATTCAAATAGAATAGTCTCAGCATATACTATCAATATATCAGCTATTACCTCTATACAATTCTTTGGAAGAGTCTTATCTAACTCATTTAAGTTCAATGCTAACTACATAGATCTTATCTTCTCTATAGCAGTTAAATATCTACTATCTTTCTTTTCATCTCTTATACTACTATCTATCCCTATTCACCACTCTGTTGCATTTGAAATCTTCTACTCAAGTAACAAAACAAACAAACTAATAGAAATCTCACTAGCTAATCTCTCTTGCAACAACTTTAATTTCTATACTGATGGATCTGTTATCGATATAAGTACCAACCAATGCTCTATGGGTATAGGCTAGGTACAAGTAAACAATAGTAACCATATAATCAACTAATTCTCTGCCAAGATCCATCTATAGCCAACTTCATATAAAGCAAAACTTTTGTCTATTTTATTAGCCATTTCAACCACTTCACGTAACTCTCGTATTAACATTTATACCTAAAACCTTTCACAATAATAAATGCTTTCACTGTAACCTACCTGACTCTCCATCACACTGGTGTACTTGTGCTAACCCTACTATACTACACCAAATACTTTTATCTACAATCTTAAACAACTTTTACTCAATTAAACTTGATATAACTAATAAGGAATCTGAAGACCTAATCCAAAAAATCTAAAGACATGAAGCATTTGACAATATAGCCCTTTAGCTCTATTCTTACTACATAGAGCCAATTCTCAAAGGCCTAATTTCTCGTTCATTAATTCAAACTCTTCAAAATTATAATATCCCTTACAAAACAGCAGCCAACACTATAATTAACCTATTACTCAAAATCAATAAACAATTATACGAACAAGTATAGAAACCCTATTGCACAAATTTTGCTAACTGAAAAAAACAAAAGTACTTAAACTACCCTATGGTAACAACTTCAATTCTACTCACCAATCTGATGATTCAGACTTATCCAATGATTCTAACTCTAACTAGCAAACCAAAAGTATCAATCATATATACAAAATATATACATATTCTGGTTTATGTGAAGAACCAGACCAACTACACTCATATACTGTAATCTGCCTACTGGTGGGTCAGGCCAGAAAGAAAATTAATACTTGGTCTTATCTTTGGGCCAAGTACAATACCCCTTTAAATCACATTCTAACTATAGTAATCTAGGTGAGTCTTCGACCACTCTAGTAGGTTTAGGTCGCAGATGAATTTTTCTCTGTCTGAGCTTTTATTCTTGCATGTAATTTTTATTTTATTTGTACTGGTACAAATAGTAGTAGCTTTGTAAATTCCTATATCTAGTAGTTATTTTTTTTAACTACATTATAGCAATCTATATTGTAACTATTCCAAAATTACTAAAAAGATATGAGCAAGACCTCATCTTAAAACCAAAAAAATATATATATATATATTTTTTAAATAGCATTAGTTAATAAAATAAGTTGCTTAACACAATGATACATATTTTTAAATGGCATTAGTTAATAAAATGCATTGTTTAATGTGTTGTAAAATTGTTTTTCAATGCTGTTAATCTGTATAGGGTTTGTTGTCCTACTGTTTGTAGTGTAAATAACAATTAATATTAGTTAATGCTTTTTAATACCTTTCAAAACTTTCTGATATAACCTCGGCAAAGCATGGATATAAAAACCTGTGGGCTGATGTAAAGAAGTCTATATGCTGTAAGATAATCTTGATGAGCCAGATTTTCTTGTTCAAAGAGCATGGTATAAAATATTACCAGAACTTTGCCATCAACTAGTCATTAGCATATTTAATCAGGTTGATACTTGTATAAAAGTTGAAGGGAAACTCCTCAAATATTAAACTATAATTAGTTTTTTTTTGCTAAAAAAATGTAAAAAAAAATAAAATAAAGTAAAATTGGGTCTTTGTACTAATAAAAAAATCAAAAATTTGGGATTTTTTGCATAATTTTTGCACAATCTTACAAAATTGCACGAAATTTTAGTGTGTTGTACTCCAAGATTCAGTGATCACATTACGTGATTTTTGTGCTGTGGTTACTTACCCGTACCCCCTGTATATTACAAAATGATGTATATGCAATTTTATTTTAATAAAAAATAATAAAATTTTTACAAAATAATAGATACGCTAATTTTGTCTAATCTAAAAGTCAAAAAAAATGTTGAAGAAATCGAAATCAGTAATCTTCAAATTTCACATAATTTTGTAAACCGCAATAAATAAATTTTAACATTTAGATAAAATATTAAATTAGAATTTATATATCAAAATCACTCATGCTAGGAGGCACAACCCTATCTTCTATATCAATTTTATCATCATTTTTTCCAATAACACCCCAAACTTTACTCGGTTTTGAACCCATATTTAATACCATAACTGCACCATTTGCAATATCTGAATGTCTAAACCATGTTTTTCTCCAATATTTACCATTAATCTTTACGCTCTGAACATATGGATTTATGTGATCTTCATTTCTCAAGTCATAAGCTATAATTGTGAACTTTATTTTTGGTGAGAGGTTTATTGTTACTTTTTCAAAATGTGGTGAGTTTATTAAATATATATCCGTGCCAGCCCTAAATATAAAAAATATTGTTATTAAATAAACAAAGATATAATGTAATGTATCAATACTGTAATAGGTAATGTTTATTACTTACAATGGATATAACCCAATTGCATTAAAGACAAACCAACTTCCCATCGCTCCTGAATCATCATTGCCTGTTCAATAAAAATAAGTTAACATATTAATTTATTTATTTACAAATTATTTAAATTATTTATTAATTTATAAATTATGTTGATTTATAACATACCTGGAATTCCATCCTGCCCACTTCCAAATTTAGTTTTTAAAATATCTCTTATAACCTCAACACTTTTATATTGCTTTCCAATAAAATGATACAAGCAAATATGAAAAAAATCAGGTTCATTTCCTATATTATAATAACCACTTTGATAAGATTTATCAGCAAATGTTTTGTCGAGACGGCTTTCAAATTCTTTTGGGCCACCGGATAATTCAATTAACCTTTTTACATCTATATTTTTAAAATAATAGTAAAATAATTAATAATAACCTGATAGAATATCATGAATGAACATAAAAACATAATGCTTATTTTGCAAAAAGTACATACCAAACGGTATATCCAAACTATATTCCCATGAAGAACCTTCATAGAATACGTACTCACCGCCTCGTTCTATTAAAACGTTTATGTCAGTATAAAAGTCACCATTCTCATATCTCGGTATGATAAATCCTTTTACACCTTTTTTTTTTATTATAAATAATATTAATGTATAATTTAATGTGTTTAACATATAATATAGTGAATAAAAAGAGCTTTTTATTTACTCTCAAAAGTCTTATTAGGATACCATAGATTCTCCCAACTTCTTGCTCTCTTTCTATATTTAATATAATCGTCATGTTTGCCCATTTCTTTAAATAAAATAAATACTCGTAAATTAGATCTTAATATGCATAAAAATTAAAATCAATTCAAGAATGTAAACATTTTCATTATTACCTTTAGCAACAAGACTGATACTGTAGTCATTAGCAGAATATTCAACAGTTCTGCTGCAATGTGAATGAGCATACACAGATATAAGACTTCCTGAGAAAGGTATATAACCATATTGTTTATATTTTGATAAAAATAATCGACCCTCAAATAATCCGCGTGAACCGGGATCTACTTCAGCGTCCTTTATTAAAGCTTCGTAAGCAAGTTCCCAATCTATTATATCTCTGCCCAATTTTTTTAAATAAGTTTCAGCCTATTATAATCATATAATTAAAAAAATCAATTAAGATATACTATTTAGGAAGAAGTTAATGACGATTTAAGCCTTACCACAACCATATCACCATTAGAACCACCTTGCGTAATCCCATTCGATAATCCACTTCTTCCATCAGGCATATATCCTTCATTTTTATATATGTCAATTAATGATCTAGCAATATCTACAGCTCGTTCTTGTTGAAAAAGCGTGAATAATGGGTTCGTCGTTCTATATATTTATGGTTTACTTAATTATTTGTTAAGAATTACTTTATTATTATGCTACGCTATTAATATATTAAAATTTTACCTAAATGTGTCCCACTATTAATTATTTTTAGGTTAGAATCTTTATATTATTTTTGCTCTAGAACTTATTAGAATTTATAAAAGAAATAACATACTAAAGTGTAAAAATCTCCATAGTGTGGTATTAATTTACCATCTTTGCCAAATGTTTCCCATTTTGGGTTTTCACCAGTTCTATGATCACAAAAATAAAATTATTATATATAATAATAATAAATAATAAATACAGTCGCCCTCCCATTACAATCATGCTCTGTATTTCGCCATGGAGAGTACCCGGGGTCTCTTACAATCTACACAGGATTATACCCCGGGTATACTGTATAGAAGAGGGTATACTATACGGGGTCTTGTACAAGGATCATATTATGAAAACAATATGTTTTTATATATAACGTGCACAAAAATCTCTGTTTATCATACCGGGTCTTGTACTAAAAATACAGATTATAGACCTGGTAAGGTTACGGCACGATTCCCCGAAAGTCATTTACCCGACAGGCCACTTACCCGACATCACACAGGTGACAAATTGCTAAAAATATATACCTACAGCTAATTAAATGCTAAACCTAACCTATGTGATGTCGGGTAAATGTCCTGCCGGGTAAATGGCTTTCGGGGAATTGAGCGACAACCCCTGGTAATATCCGCTATAAATCAAGGATGGTAAAGTCAACAAGGGGGTACTCTACGAGGCGAAATACGGCAGTTGGACACATAGTAAAGTTTTTTTTTTAAAAAATGTGCTTATATGGAGTTTTTTTTTCTTATAAATTAAATCATGGTTTTGCCTAAACGTAAATGTGATTACATGTGATGTGATTATATGGGAGTGACTATATGGAGTGACGACTGTAATATGTAATAATAACCATAATAAATAGTAAATAAAAATAAATAATATTAGTAATATTTATATATAAAAACCATACCTATCACTAGGAATTATCATGGTTCTATATAAGCTACTATAAAAAATAGTTTTTAACTCATCAGTACCTCCTTCAACTTGAATCTTTCCTAACTCCGTTTGCCAAGCCTTTACAGCTTCATGTTTAGTCCTTTCAAAATCCCAATCTGGAATTTCACTTTCAACACTATTGCAAGCTTGATCAGCTGAAATAAATGAAATTCCAACTCTTGATATTATCACCGGATTTTCAGTAACATTGAACGTTAAAGCAGTACCATTAGCCTTTTCGCCAAAATCATCTGTTCCATCAAAGTCTTGAAAAGTTTTACCCTCCCAGTCTGTAAATTCAGTGGCGTTGGTATCAAATTTTGAACAGAAGTAGACAGTATAAATACCACCTCTATTCCAACCGCCACTATAACGAGCAGCACCTTTTATTTGATTAGGTGAGATATATTGGATTGATCCTCCATGGTACTGATGAGTGAAGCTAAACGAATGCGTTATTAATATTATTAACAATTAAGCAATTAGGTATGCATTTTATAAATTTACATGACATACCCATAGTGATATACAACAAGATTATGAGGCAAATCAATAATAACTTTAGCTTTATTTTCGGTTGGTGGAAAAGTATATCGATGAAGACCTGCTCTTCGACTAGCTGTTAATTCGACTGTGATATTATAACGTTTTAATCCAAATTTTGAATAACCAACTTCAAAATGTTCAAAAGAACGTTCAGAGCTAAAATTGGTTAAATCAAGTGGATCTTCAGGTGAATCTATCGTGGGGAATTGACTTATCACACCATATTTTGGTTCACCTGTAGTCATTTAATCTGTGTATGAGTGAAAGCGATAACGCGTAAATAAAAACATGCATTATATTATTTCTCACTTACCTCCTGTCCCACTGACATGCAAGTCTTTACAAGTAATAATAGATTAATAAACATATATACTACTAAAAAGTAGACAAATTATTAAATAATACATCTATTGAATAATACGTACGAGAAATTCCTGTAATCTTTCCATCAATAGTGTATCTATGAAATAAATTATAAAAAAAAATTATTCTAACATTTTAGTATTTCTTTAAAATAGTTTTAATAATAGCGAGGTATTCTTACCCTGCATTAAATTCATAAGTATCATCAGTATCAAAACCTAATTTAACGAGGCCATAAGGATGACAAGGACCAGGAAACACATGTCCGTCTACATTCAATTTAAGCATTAGCAACGAAAACAAAAATTATGAAGACTTGTTTTTTTTTTAATTGTTCTTTATTCATTTAAACTACGTTACTAAAACTCACATTCTCGAGAACCACCTTTAGCAGTTCCGATTAAAGTGTTAACAAATCTTGTAACATTTTTCGACGAATCATCAAATAAATTAAATAAATTTGGTAGTTTATTAATATGTATAGAAAAACATATAAATAATATAAAATTTAAAACTAATAATATTATTAAAACTTTAAATTTCGTTATTCGTCGATTTAAAAACCAAAAAAAGTGTAGATTTTTTTTAAAATATATTGGAAATCGGAACAAAGACAACAAAGACATTTTTTCGATCGTCAATATTTTTTTTACTGTATTATATTTTATTTATACAAGTTTCAAGTGACAGTATTAGATATTAAACAAAACCCAGCCATTATAAAATAGCAAAGTACAAACTATAAGCTTAAAGTTTTAATAACATAATACGCCTTAATAACAAACAATTTACCTCAGCATCGCCATAAAAAATTCACAGCACGTGATTATTGACCAATAAAAGATCATAATTTAGTGTAACGTATATGATTAGGAGAATTCAAAACAAACTTCTCTTTTTTCAAAAATAGTTTATTTCTCGAAAGTTTACATAAGAAACTACCTTTCATTCATTAACAAAAAATTTTCTTGAGTGATTTTACTATACAATTACATAAATACTAATCCCAACATTAACGAACGAACTTAAAGAATTTTTCGTTAGTCACATGGGAAGAAATTTTTTTATGGTGATACTGGGTATGATAACACAGCCATTATATTTTTTTTATGTATGCATATGAAAGCAGAGCGTTTATTAAAAATTCGGGGCTCTATATAGATAAAATGATTTTACAGTATGCTTTAGAATCAATTCCAAAATATTTAATCGTTTGTCATGTAAAATCGCGAGAAATAGACGATTTTCTGATTTTGAGAGAATTCTATAGATTTCAAGATAGATATAAATATTATATATTGTGGTTTGCAATAACGATGTCATGCAAAATCGAACGAAATTCAAAATAAATATGAGTTTTATTTTTAATAAGAAAAATGCAATTGAAAATTGTGTTACACAAAATTTCAATTCCAGATTTTGATGTATTATTGAAGTTTTTGTTTTCTATTTTTAAAGGATTATATCTTCGAAAAATTGATTTCTAAAATATAAAAATCTTCATATTTTATTAGCTAATGATAATAAAAATTGTACAACACTTAAATAAGAGCCGGTACTTTAACATAAATTAAAAATAAACTTAGTCAGAAAAAAGCCAAACAGTGGTTTTTCTAGCAAATGGCCTATATACTGTCAATTATCAATAAAAGGAAATCTGGACTGGGCAAAAACTTTCATTATTTAGCATATTCGCTATATCTATATAACGGATTAATAACAAAGTTAGACTGGATTCATTATAATGATAGTTAAAAACAATACAAAAGAAATTAGAATTTATTTATTTATTATATTATTTTGCACTCTGATTGGTCATAAGTTGTTGCGATTCGTTATATAGGTTAGAATTTTATATTAATGAGCTAGTGAAAATGTCAATTATACGTAATACGGCATTTTTCATTATTAAATCCATTGATAATCAAATTTATTAATGGTATCCTTTTTAACATATTTTATTCGTCATCTCTTTTCTAACTGAAATTTTAGGGTTAGCGTTAGAACTGGATCTGGGTTTACAAATTTACCGTGGATTTCCATGTACCCTATAAAAAAAAAATTTGAAATCACATTCAGAATTTACTCGGGTTATTTTTTTAAGAGATGAGCATTTTCCGTAACAAAAATCTATACAAAACCTTTAAAATTTTCTGAATATTTTCTAATTTTCTGAATACTTTCGAAACCTTGTTAATTTCCTGATTATAATTTTTATCAAGCAAAAAATTATAATCAGGAAATTAACAAGGTTTCAAAAATATTCAGGAAATTAGAAAATATTCAGAAAATTTTAAAGGTTTTGTATAGATTTTTGTTACGGAAAATGCTCATCTCTTAAAAAAAAAATCTGAGTAAAGCCTGAGTATGATTTTTAAAAAATTTTTATAGGGGTATAGATAAAAGCAGAAAATTATGCGATACATACAATTAGGTCTACGATAGGTATATAAATCCCGGATCTCTTTTAAGAGTGTCATTTCTAATTTACTATTGGTGACAACAATAAATCATTCTATTGTAAACCTATTCTTGGTAAATTTTTGATAAATTGAAATTTTATATTAACAAGAACCATTTTAATAGTATTATCAAGAACACTTTTCTAACGTTCTGCCTTTAATGGTAAATTACATAAGGGTCAATCAGATTCAACTATTTTCTGATAAAGCTGGCCCGATTTAGGTTAGTTGGACTGATTTATAGTTAAAGTTTGATATAGATAGATTGTCGGCAAATTCTATCAAACCAATTAATATAAGTAACCGTATATTATCTATTATCGAGAAATATATGTTGTCAAATTTTTTCGGCAAGGAAATACAGGTCTTGTAAGTCTATCACTAAAAAAACTCCAATTTTCAGATTTAAAATTAGTACAAGGCTAGTACAGCCACAAGACACTCTTTTACTTGCTATTTTACCGATAGGTTTAATTCAATATAGTTTTATAATACCTACCTTATAAATTAAAAGATTTGAGTCTTTTAATTTAAATTAGTCCGTTCGACAGAAATTTCGAAATGCCAAAAGAAAAATCAACTTTGTGCGAAATCAGGTGTATTCTAACATTTCAATATAAATTCGATTTTCAAAGCCCCGTAATAAGAAAAAGTATGAATGCTTTATTAATTTTGAAATTGTAGTATTTATTATTATGATAATAGTTAATCTCAAAAATGACATAAACATAAATTGAAATCTGCATCCGATTAAAATCATTATAGCTCTGCTAGTGTCTAACATAGATACCCACTCTAACCCTAATAAATTTTTCTCTAACACAAATTTCAATTTATTGCACTATATATATATTATATTCATATATTAAAATTATTATATATTCCCTCCAGAACATCCTTCCACATCACAACATAGCATAGCAAGGTTCAACAAGTGGGCAACCATTTTCCCTACTACTAACATATTCATATATTAAAATTATTATATATTCCCTCCAGAACATCCTTCCACATCACAACATAGCATAGCAAGGTTCAACAAGTGGGCAACCATTTTCCCTACTACTAACATATCCACATCTTACATCGTTACCATAAATCTAGATGAGGTCTGTTAGCCTACTCTAGTAGAGTTTTAGGCCGAGGATAAAGTAGTCCTAGCTGTAGGTTCTTGTAGTAATTCATGTAATTCATTGTAAATGTAACACATAAATTATTCAATAAAGACCGAGGCCAGGCCTTACTCTTAAAAAAAAAAAAAAAAAAATTTATTATATATTATGGATCAAACAATTTAACTAACAATTGGTCCAATAATTTGACTAATCCTGAAATTTACTTTTGCATTACAATTTAATATAAAATTATATTATTTTAAAATATAAAAATATGAGAAACATCTGCTTTTTAATAAATTTATTGTTGATTATTTTAAAAGTGAATGATGGTTCATGCTGATAAGGAATTTCTGGCGAAATTATGGGCGTAAATGTTAAAGAACTTCCAAGCCTAATATTATCTATAGTAGATGAAATTATCAATTTTTGGTGAAAATTAGGTGGATGTGATACTGAGTAAATTAACTATCTACAGTAGACTAATCTAAGATCAATCCTTTAAAATCATCACCTGAAAATCTATATAATTTTTTGATACCGAAATATGTAACTAATCACATGACATATGTAGTACATATTTTCAGGTATGAATTTTTTTCTAAAAATAGATTTACTATGTTTTTCAAATACTGAAATATTTAAATTTATGTCTTACATCCGTTATTAATATAAAAAGATAATTGTACTTAAATTTTGTTCAATTAAATCATAGATATTATTTAATACAACATAGTTTTTGGTTTAAAAATAATATTCATTATCTGTTATAATTTTCTTTAGCATCGTTCTTTCAACAATCATTATATTACTTGCACGCTGAAAAATCATTCTCTCAGATAGATTTTATCACAGAATATATTCGAGAATCAGATCTATAATTTAGTAAAATGTTATCTACCAAAATTAGCCAATCACAATAAAGTTCGTCATAGTCATAGTAAAAACAGTGACTTTCGCTTCGCTCTGGACAATTATTATGAATTCTCTCGTGATAATATGTAGTCATGAATGATAAAATGGCACCAATTCTTTATTAATAAAGTTACTGCTAATTTATGATCTGGAGGTTCTTTCCTCAAAGCTCATTTGAGAAAGAATTTCATTTCATATGCAGTAATAAAAACAAATAGATTAACTTACAGCATATAGCAATGATGTAGCAAGTATGACTAAAAAGAACCATAAGAATTTATATAATCACTTTTTATTGGAAAAGAATTTCAATTAAACATATTACAATATCAATAACATGTTTTAAAAAATTTAAATTAATGAGTAAAAAAAAAGAAAACAAAATTAAATAAGATAAAAATTATTAAGACCAAATACTAAAAAGAAGCTAATGCAAATAAATAGCCAAGAATTATAATAATAATCGATATTCAATGTAGCAGAAGATTTTACAGGAGTTTGAGAATTACTATTACTGCTACTACTACTAGAACTAGTTTTTGCTGAAGATGAAGCAGCTTTAGTAGCAGTGACCTGAGCAGGTGGGGCAGTGGTGGCAACAGGAGGTTTACTATCGTTATAAAATATTCCAGGGAAACCTAAGCAATCGGCAACTGGCTTAACATTACGCTTAGCTTTTAAAAGAATATCAATAACTGCTGGGGCTTGAGCAGCAGTTACATCATATAAATCATGTTGAAGAGATATATGACCAGTAGTAGAAGTTTCATTCATCCAACTAGAGAAATTTGAAGTAATCCATGATGTTTGAAAACCTGTATCACTGAAATGCCAATCGGCAGAATCTTTATCCCATATAACAACTTTATAACCGAGTTGAGCGCATATATCACGTATGCGATCATCAAAATCACCAAATGGTGGACGCATGTATATTGGTCTGACACCAGTTACATTTTTTATAGCTGCAGCAGTCCATTCTAATTCAGCAATAACAACATCAGTAGCCTGAGTGGTAAGGTAGGAGTGAGACCATGTGTGGACACCGATTTGATGACCTTGAAAAAAGTTAACAGTATTTTAATTAATTAAATAATAGTAATAATTAAATAAAATGATATAAATAAACATTTACCTTCTTGAAACATTCTCAATAAGATGTCTGGATATGAGATCACTCGAGAGCCAACAACGAAGAAAGTAATTTTTAGATTTTGTTTTTTGAGAAGATCAAGGATGGCTATTGTGTAATTACTGATTTAAAAGAAAAATTAATATGAAATAAATCAATTAGTTCATAAGATATAATGCTTAAAATGTGTCACGTTTGAAGTTAGAACAAGCCTAGAGTTGCAATTTTAAGCATATGAATTGCATCGAACCTTAAAATTAGAAATTAGAATTTGTATGCATTAAATAGCATTTTGTTTTTTTTTTAAAAAAAAAATTATTATTTTAAGTGCAATTCTAGACGAGTGTCAACTTCAGACATGACATAATATTTATGTATATGATATTTACGTTGGACCATCATCAAAAGTAAGACCCCAATCTATAAGAAAAAAAAAAGTTAATTATGATATTAAAAATTTCAATATATAAAATTTCAATCTAATATAAAAAATAATAAATTTTTTACATACCATTCAAAGTTGGGCAATATAAAATATCGGTATTGCGAGTACATTTAGAGCAAGGCCAGTAACAATACGTATCTGAAGTTGGGCAGGTTCCATTTGCAATATTTGACACATTGTTAAGAGGAGCATTTCTAACCTTTGTTAAATCCACGAGTGAAGTAAATTCAGCATTGGTCGGTGGTGGTTTATCGAGTGGTGGCCAACTCGCAAGGTCACTTGTTGAAAATTGAAAAGTTAGGCAAAAAATTGCCAAGAATAAAAGTTTAGCACTAAGAATAAATTTCATTTTTCTATATTAAATGTGAATGGAGTATGAATGGAATGTGAATGGAATATGAATGAAATGTGAATGGAATATGAATGAATATGAATGAATGAAAACACCAATATCTTTATAAATAAATGAATTTATATTTAAAAGAATGATAATTTTCTATTTTCTGAGTTAATAATTTAATATTAACTCAGGAATAAAAAAAGAATTAGGAATTGTTTAGAAAATTTTTTATTTCCAACAATTCTATCTAATAAATTAGATTTTTTTTAAAAAAATAAAAAGGGCTACCAATAAATTTAAAAATGTACATACATAGCGAAATTTATATTTAATCCTACAATAAACATCGAATCCGAGAAACATTAATAAAAAACGATAGAATTAATCGTAATATGTGTTCGTATTACAAACAATAATCGATAATTTGCATGGGACCTAAATAATACCGCTGATATTATATTAATATTATGCATCATCTTGAAAAAACATTCATGGCAATAATTACCCGTGAAGCACAAATGTAGTATTCATAAATTTGCTAGTTTTAATTTGTGTGAATAAGACCTATTTTGGGGCGTAAACAACTTTGGCATACCGATACGTACGTACGTAATAAATTTTGGTCCATAATAAGAAATATTATTGCATTAATATATCGAATTTT